TGCTTCAGCTTTTGAACCTTGTCACCAGTCTCAGCCTTCTTGGCTTCAAGTATTTTCTCCTTAGTATCTGGCTTCTCAGCCTTTTCACCTGCCATCTTGCAAGATGGGAAAAAGCCCCTCTGTTTAATTTTAAAGAATGTTAATAAGTTCATCATCTAGGCAGGGTGCTGAAGCAGTCTTGAGGTTTCTACTCCCTACATTCTTCTGTGATTCATTCTGATTCTCCTCTCTGCACTGCTGTTACCTCCCATTAAGCCCTCACCCTCTCCACCTGGAATATATATTTAAACTTGACATATATGTCATGTGTTACCATCAAATGCAGGTATGTGTTAAAACTGGGGATATAGTCGGGCACAAAACATAAAAATCCCTACCTGTCCAGTGGTAATGAGCTCCCTTCAGCTTTTGTTTATCTGGTAATGTCTTTATTTCTCCCTCATTTTAAAAAAAATTAATTTATATTTATTTTTGGCTGCGTTGGGTCTTCGTTGCTGCACGCGGCTTTCTCTAGTTGCGGCGAGTGGGGGCTACCCTTCATTGCGGTGCCCGGGGTTCTTATTCTGGTGGCTTCTCTTGTTCCGGAGCATGGGCTGTAGGTTCGCAGGCTTCAGTAGTTGTGGCATGTGGACAACTGGGAAAAGTGGAGACTATGCCCAGGGAAGCCCTCTCCTTTTTTTTTTTTTTTTTAAAATACATATATGCTCTTTTTTTAAGTAAATAAATTTGTTTGTTTGTTTGTTTATTTATTTTTGGCTGCATTGGGTCTTTATTGCTGTGCACGGGCTTTCTCTAGTTGCAGCGAGCAGGGGCTACTCTACGTTGCCGTGTGTGGGATTCTCATTGTGGTGGCTTCACTTGTTGCGGAGTATGGGCTCTAGGCACGCGGGCTCAGTAGTTGTGGCTCACAGGCTTTAGAGCGCAGGCTCAGTAGTCGTGGCGTGCCGGCTCGGTAGTTGTGGTACATGGGCTTAGTTGCTCTGCGGCAGGTGGGATCTTCCCGGATCAGGGCTCGAACTCATGTCTCCTGCATTGGCAGACAGATTCTTAATGACTGCGCCACCAGGGAAGTCCATCCCTCATTTTTTAAAGGGAGTTTTGCCAGGTATAGAATTCTCAGTTGACATTTTTGTTTTTAATCTCTGTGGGGGAAAGAGGGCTTGGAGCTTACTAGTCCACCGTTTTGCTGATGTCACTCCTCACATAGTGTTTTAATTGAAACTTTTTTAACTTAAAAAAGAATGGGTCTAGCAATCTGGATTGGATGACCTAATGACACAGTAAAAACTTGGTCAGAACTAGGAAAAAACTAGGAAAAAGAGCACACTATGTTTTTGCCTTTTCCTGTTTGCACATCTGTCCATATGCCATTTCTTTTAAGAAGTTTTTAGAAACAACATGTATGTAATTTCAAAATTTAAATAAATTTTTTACTCAAAATATTATCATGGAAATGCTTGATCTTTATTTCATTCTCTTATTTATTCATGTAGAACACTGTCATATTAACTTTAGTTTTCATTGGAAATAATTCCTCTTTTTTGGTTAAATCCAAAGTTTGTTACACAGGTTTATTTTAGTCTTGTTTTCATTTATGTGACTATATCTTAAACTATTTTGTTATATCTATTCAGACACTATAATTACGTAAGTCTAAAACAAAACAAGTACATTCTGAGCGCTATAGTTTCATCCTTTCTCCTCTGTCCTCTTCCTTCTCCTCATCTCACAGGTGCCCCTTGTATACAGTTTTTATTTTTCCATTATTAAGATAGAAATGCATAAATATATAGAAATGCATAAACTATATGAATTATATTCACTTTCTTGCCAAAATAAAGCTAACTGCACAAAGTATTCTGATAGCTACTGACAGTTTAGGTCTGCATAGTTGAAATAACTTACTCCTCATGTCCACAGCTGCCCAGTGCTCTCTTAGGAGGATGCACCCTGATTTATTCAATCTTGGTTATTACCAAAAATGCTGCAATAATAGTTCTGTTCTTGTGAAAAAATCTTTTAACTTTTTTTTTTTTTTGCTGTACGCGGGCTTCTCACTGTTGCAGCCTCTCCCGTTGCGGAGCACAGGCTCCGGACGCGCAGGCTCAGGGGTCTAGCTGCTCCGCAACATGTGGGATCTTCCTGGACCGGGGCACGAACCCGTGTCCCCTAGCATCGGCAGGCGGACTCTCAACCACTGCACCACCAGGGAAGCCCTGCTTTTAACATTTATATAAAGTTGGAATAATTGTTAGGAGAGCAAACAAATTTACTGGCTCTAATAACAGGTACTCAATATTTTATAGTCTCCAGAGTCCTCTGATTGCAGTAATATCAAACTCCAACATTCCCTCTAAATTTAAAAATAATGTTTTTTACTAATGTAAATATGAGTATTAATTTCCTCACTCAGACTAAGGCTGGCATGCTTGGAACTTTCTCACTCCTTTATCTGTATAACTTCACTTTGGTCTCTGTACACATTCTTCCATCCATTGACTTGATTCTTAATCAGCTGGTCATGGCCAACTCTTTGGTACTTTCCTTCCAAAGAAATCCCTCAGATAATAGCAGTTTTTGGATGGCAATATTGCCTGTATGATTTTGGATGTAAAGTTCTACTTACACTGAATGGGCAGAGAGGTTTCCCTCAGCACCACCTGTCTCTTGAGTGACTTCTAGGCCATTAAGATTTGTCCAATTCCTTTACCACCTGTCACACTTGGGGCATAGTCTCCACTTTTCCCAGTTGTCTAAGCTGGCAGAGGGGTCCTGTGTGGGGGTCAAGCCATCAGGGTGAGCCCTGGACTCTGGCTGAGAGCAGTGCCAGCCCTTTACCACACAACTGCTGAGACAATCTCGGGACTGGCCTGAGGGAGCAGGACCTGTCCAGGACAATGCAACCATCACCGGGGCTTCCTGCTATCCTCAAAGTACTGTGGCCAAATGCCACCCCAACCTTGTAACCCAGACTTACCTGCATCCCAGGACCCTAAGAGGACATCTTCACCTATTCTCTTTCATTCTAATGTACTTTTAATTTAGCACTTCTTTCATGTTTCCTGTCTGTGTTCCTTAAATGGTCGAAAACTCACAAGGGCAGGCTTGTCTGTCTTGTTTTCTGACTTTTCTTGTGCACCTACAGTAGTGCCTGAAACTCAGTAGATGCTCACTGAACATTTATTAAAGAACTGAGGGACTTCCATGGTGGACACTGGTTAAGAATCCGCCTGCCAATGCAGGAGACATGGGTTTGATCACTGGTCCGGGAAGATCCCACATGCTATGGAGCAACTAAGCCCATGCTCCACAACTACTGAGCCTACGCTCTAGAGCCTGTGAGCCACAACTACTGAAGCCTGCACACCTAGAGCCTGTGCTCCACAACAAGAGAAGCCATCGCAATGAGAAGATCGCGCACCGCAATGAAGAGTAGCCCTTGCTCTGGGCAACTAGAGAAAGCCCGCACACAGTAATGAAGACCCAAAAATAAATAAATAAAATAAAATTTAAAAAAATTTATTAAACATGACACTCTAGATTCCACATCCATTTTTGCTTTTTACTGTTAAGGCTACTTTGAAAGTCCTTTTAAGCTATACTTCAAAGTATTAATATTTTCACGAATGAAAAAATAATCAGATTTCTAAAACAAAATCCTGAGTGGCCAAAGTTTCAGCATAGCCGCTGCTCAGATAACTGTCTCTTCTCAGACTCCAGCGTGTCCTGTTCAGTTTTCTTTGAGATCTTAACTTTTGTTTTCTAATCCTCTACTGATATTTTCCCAGAGCTATCCAGACATTATCTTTAAATAAGTACATAATCATTAGTGGCTTTCAGTGATTTTCATTCCACAACTTTTTCTGGAATAATCTCAACTCCTCATGCCCACACAATCCCTGCTATATCAGTAAGAATGATAATCACTTCTCATCAAAGAGATCAGATTTTGGTGTCCCCTCAATTTTTGTTTCATTTTGTTTTTTCCACACTTTAATGTATTCATTTTTCAATAAGTTTAAATCCTTGAGGTGTATGGCATCACACAGATTCTGTGTCCACGGCCTTAGCAGCAAGGTTGTTTGGGAATTCGGCATGAACCATGCCACTGTCTCCGTGAACACAAGCTACCTTTCCCCAGGTTACTCTGGTTTTGTTCGGTTTTCCACCAGGAGTCACTTTGTTTTCTTTGCTTTGTACACGTAAGCACGTCTCTTGCCTAGATATTTAGAATTCTGCTTCATTTCGAGCATAGACCCCTTCAATTTTTTTTTAATATAAATTTATTTATTTAATTTTGGCTGCATTGGGTCTTCGTTGCTGCGCGCGGGCTTTCTCTAGTTGCTGTGAGCGGGGGCTACTCTTCATTGTGGTGCTCTGGCTTCTCATTGTGGTGGTCCCTCCTGCTGGGGAGCACAGGCTCCAGGAGCACGGGCTTCAGCAGTCGCGGCATGCACGCTGAGTAGTTGCAGCGCACGGGCCCAGCCCCTCCGCGGCACGTGGGATCCTCCCAGACCAGGGACCGAATCTGTGTCCACCGCACCGGCAGGCGGACTCTCAACCACTGCGCCACCAGGGAAGTCCCAGACCCCTTCAATTTTAAGAGCTATGTGCTCCCTCTGGTTCCGGAGACTGAGCTTATAGCCAGCAAAATGGCCTTGGACCACAGCCTTCCAGGCATATTTGTCCTTTCAGAAGTCCTGTTCCAAGCGGGCCTCCACAGTCTTCAAGACGGTTGAAACAGAAAGGCCTATGTCTCAAACTTTTATCTCAGGGTGCTGGTATCTTTGCACAGGTGCTCTAACCGGGCCACTTTACCGGGCGGTCCAGGTGAGCAGCGCTCCACGCTCGGTCCCAGAGCTGTTGGAACTACATTTCCCAGAGGACGCTGCGCCGGGGGCCTTCGGCGATTAGCCAATTAAAGCTCAGGAGGAGGGCACTTCCCTGCGAGAGCATAGCGTAGGGGCAGGACTTCCGGCATTCTCCTCGTGGCGGTCGTTTTGTAGGTGCTTGGGGTATGTTCGCTCGGTCTCAGGTTCCACAGCGGCGAGTTGAGACCGAGAAGGTCAGAGAGGAGACGCTGTCCGCGCCAGGCCTGGGGTAGGGTCCACTGTGCCCGCGTCCCCCCTCCTCCCCCGCCGTTCCCCGCCCCGTTCACAGTCCGATGGCGGCGGCGGCGCTGAGGAACCCGCCTCAGGTAAACGCTCGTCCTCCGGCCCTCACCGCCCTCACTCCACAAGACACTAAAGCCTCGAGTGCGGGGCGCCGGCTCACGTGCCTGCAGCCCAGACCCCGGTATTCAGGACGGTGAGGCGGCCGTGGGTGGGGCCCTGTTTCTGACAGACGGTGTGATGGCGCGTTGCAGAGGGTCACAGGCGGAGGGACCGGCAGGTGCAAAGGCTTGGAGGTCGGATTGAGCCGGGAGGATTCGGGAACTCCGAGATCTGCCTTGTGTGTTCAGGGAACAGAGAAGATGAGGCAGAGTCGCGCTTGAAATGCCACGCTGCCATTTTCAGGAGGCCGGGAGCATTGACAGTTGTTAATAGAAAAGGACTCTCCTGATTTAGGCTTTCAGAAGTTTTCCAAAAGCTGTTCAGAGTGTTAGACTGGTTGCCTCGCGTATAGGTACCAGAATGTGCAAGTGCTTGCAAGGGAGACTGAGCTAGTTCAAGGGAATCTCAAGTCTCCTTTGTTTCTCATGGGAACAGAGAGCAAGGGGGCAGGAGTCAGGTCTGGAATGGCGCTCTGAGAAGTTGAGTGCCTATTCTGCAGGTGATGGGAACAATGGGAGGTTTGGAGCGGAGGAGGGAGGTGATGTGACCCAGCTTTTATCAGGCTCCCTGTGACTGCAGAATGGAGAACCGAATGGGGCGGGGGGTGAGGAATGTGGTAGGAAAACCAGGGAAGACGCTACTGTAACAGTCCAGGAGAGTCTTGATGATGTGGACCAGTGTGGTGACCTTGGAGGTGGTAGACATGGTTAGATTCTGAATTCAGTTTTTTCATTAGATCTGCTCAGGTTTTCTGATTTTGTGAGAGTAGAAGTCAGGGATGACTGTAAGGTTTTGGGATGTAGCAGCCAGAGGGATGGAAGCTCCATCAGTTGGGATCTGGAATTTGGTAGTAGGATTAATTTTCTTTTTCTTTTTTCTTTTTTTTATTTTTTTGACTGCATTGGGTCTTCGTTGCTGTGCCTGGGTTTTCTCTAGTTGTGGCAAGTGGGAGGCTACTCTTCGTTGCGGTGTGCAGGCTTCTCATCGTGCTGGTTTCTCTTGTTGCAGAGCATGGGCTCTAGGGACACGGGCTTCAGTAGTTGCAGGTCGTGGGCCCTAGAGTGCGCGGGCTCAGTAGTTGTGGTGCACAGGTTTTGTTGCTCCGTGGCAAGTGGGATTTTCTTTCCCAGACCAGGGATCGAACCCCTATCCCCTGCATTGACAGGCGGATTCTTAAGCACTGCACCACCAGGGAAGCCCCAGGATTAATTTTCAGTCGATATTAGAGGCTTTGTTTTGGCCATGTTAAGTGTATGAGATGTTTCAGAGAACGAATCAGTAGAGGTATTAAGTAGGCAGCTGGACACACAGGTCTAGGTCTCTGGGGAGGGTTTCAGGACAGACACCTGAAGAAGGTGGTGGATAGTATGTGGACAAGGGTGGAGCTGTGTGTCTTGGCTTAGATGGCTAGAACAGAATACTTTTTATTTCTCACAGTTCTAGAAGCTGGGAATCCAAAATCAAAGTATTGGCAGGTTGGATTCCTGGTGGGGGACTCTGTTCCCGTCTTGCAGATGGTTCCCTTCTCCCTGTATCCTCACGTAGACTTTTCTTGGTACAAGGAGGTGGACAGAGCAAGAGATGCCTGTCTTCCTCTTATAAGGGTTCCTTCTTACAACCTAATCTAAACCTGATTACTTCCCAAAGGCCATGCCTCCAACTACCCTTTGGGGTTAAGGCTTCAACATAACAAATTTTGGGGGGACGCATACATTCAGTCCATAACACTGTGGGTCACATTTAGTGGTGATAATTTTGGTTATGATAGTGTTGATAATTGCCCAGGAAGGGGAGAGTGGGGTCTGAGGGCTGGGCCTTGTCCTTGGGCACAAAGGTGGAGGATGATAGACATCACAAACATAGGTGAAGGAGATAAGTGGTCGTGGGAACAGTGTGGGAAAGAGGATGAGCTACTAGGTGATTTAGATTTCTGAGGGATGAGTGCACATGAGACAGAAATGGCGGCAAAGGAGCAGTTGAGGCAAGATTGACAGTGAGGCCAGGTCTACTGCTTATTCACTGCTCTATGGGCTCACCAGGGTTTTGCTGTGACCTTCTGTTTCTGGGGGGTTTTAGTCAGGTTGGTGGGTTAGTTTAAGTGGCACAAGTGGTCATCTGGGAGAGTCACTGGACCTGGGGTGGAAAATGTCTGGGACTCTGTTTTGAATGATGGTTAGGAAAGGAGAGGAAGTCTGTGAAGGGAGAGCACATCAAGTGTAGCTCATGTGGAAGAGGGACATGACTGTATGAGATGCACAAGTGGTTCTGGGTGGCTGAGGTTGAAGCAAGGAGCAGAGTCAGGCAGGACTGCCAATGGCAGTGGGGACCAGTGGAGGTCTGGGTAGTTGGATCCTGCTTGAATTTGCTGAGCACTCTCTATATGCCACATGTTCCATGACACATAGGAAGGAGAGGCAGATGCCTGTGTTGCAGGGCAGGAAAGAGGTGGTGACTGAGAGAGACGTTGTACAAAGAGTGATGTGGAAAGGGAGTATGAGCTGATGGCCTGAGGGCCCTGGCACTGAGGACATAAGGTTAAAATGTGAACCCACACCCTTGGTTATGTCTGGGAGGCATGATCTGGGACATCCTAGGAGAATTACCTCATAAGAGGGAGTCCTTCCCTGTGTGCCAGGCCCAGAGCATAGATATCATCTGTCTGTCCACCTGCCTGGTGCTGTGGGTGGACAGGGTAATCAAAGGGACCATGAGAAGAGTGTTCACATTGATGACACCAGGGCCTGGTATCTCCTCTGAGATGAGGAAGTGGCGGGGAACGGTGAGCAGGGTATGAGTGGGTGGGTGGATGAACTTGGGGTCCTGTGAGAGAAGCTGATCATGGAACAAACTGTCCCCATCATGGCAGGCCTGTGTGACCTTTGAGGACGTGGCCATTTACTTCTCCCAGGAGGAGTGGGGGCTCCTTGATGAGGCACAGAGGTTCCTGTACCATGATGTGATGCTGGAGAACTTTGAACTTACAACATCCCTGGGTAAGGCCTTCATATTCCTCCCAGTGTCCTCAACTGTCCTCTGTCTTTCTCCCATCCAAGAGGCAGCTCTCTCCATTCCATGGCTAGACCATTGTCTCTGTTAACTTCCCCACTTACCTGGCATATGTGCTGTGGATGTTAGTGCTGAGCTGTGTACACTGCCCCGAGCACTGTACTCCTCAAGCAGCCCCAACGTCTGATACCCCAAGGAATGCAGGGAAGTGTCTGGGAGTCAGTCTGGCAGTCAGCCTAATAGAGCTCACATTTCTTGTCCTCTCCTTGGCAAGTTGACTGTGTCCAGATCTATGGTACCTTGTGCCCCAGATTCTTTCCCTTTCCTCTTTTTTTTGAGATATAATTGGCATAGGACATATTAGTTTCAGGTGTATTACATAATGATTTGGTATTTGTATATATTGCAAAATGCTCACAATAGTAAGTCTAGTTAACATCTATCACCATATAGAGTTACACATTTTTTTTCCTTGTGATGAGAACTTTTAATTTTAAGACTTCCTTGTGACTGCCTATATCAGGATTGCAGGTATTGTCATTGTCACTATTTATGTATAAGCTTTTCTTGAAAGTCCCTGTTTTGGGATTTTGTTGTAATAGTCTTTCCTTTCCTGGGGTCTGCTGTTTCCTGAGTTGCTCTGAGTCAGTGCTGACCACTCACATGTCCTGTCTTTCCCTAAGGATTGGTTTCGTTCCAGTCTCATGTAGTTACAGAACTGGGGGTGTGTGGGGAGAGCCCTGATTGCTTTACAGGGTGAACATGGCAAGTTGGTCTCAGAGGAGACCTGGTCCTGGTGAGTGGCAACTGAAGGGGGGGCGAGGGGAGGGCATGAAAATGAGGCTGTGTTTAATCATACCGGGAACCTACCCTGTGTCCACCAGTGTTTTGGTGCAAGTGCCACTTGATGCAAATTATTTCTACACTTTCTTCTGCATACTTGACACTTTACTGATTTGTCATTTCCAGTTTCTGACTCTCCCCACCTTTCAGACCTGTATGCATCATGTCCCTCTCCACTGCACCATCTGTACTTTCTCCCACAGTGACTTACACTTATCCAGATACCTTGGAGATGTGGGTTCAGTTCCAGACCACTGCAATACAGTGAGTCACGTGAATTTTTTTGTTTCCCAGTGCATATAGAAGTTATATTTATATTATACTTTAGTGTATTAAGTGCAGTAGAATTATGCCTAAAAATCAATATACTTACCTTAATTTGAAAGTACTTTTTTGCTAAAAAATCCTAACCATTGTCTGAACGTTCAGTGAGTCATAGTAGTAACATCAAAGATCACTGATCACAGATCACCATAACAAATATAATAATAATGGAAAAGTTTGAAAGATTGTGAGAATTATCAGAATGTGACACAGAGATACAAAGTGAGCAAATTCTGTCGGGAAAATGGCACTGATAGACTTGCTGGATGTAAGGTTGCCACAAACCTTCAATTTGTAAAGAAAAAAACCAGAATGCAGTATCTGCAAAGGGCAATACAGCAAAGTGCCATGATAATGACATATGCCTGTAAAGTGTTGTGAGGTGTGCACACATTCTTAAATAGTCCTTGAACACCAGCTACTCAGTTCCAATTGTATTTCCCTGGGCCTGGACACAGTCATCCTTCTGCATAGTATGGACATGTTCCCAGCTGACAAGATCTAGCTGAAGGCTGTTGGCAGAGGAGGGAGTAAATGATCCTGCCTCTCCTCCCTGTGTTACACCCTGTATTTGTGCCCTTTGTCCTGGAAAGTTACCCCCCTTCTGTGAACTTTAGAGGTCCAGTACTGCAGAGCAGCCCTCCCTTCAAATTAGTGCCTCATCCTGAAAACATTCCCATGGATTCATTAGCACTTTATTAGCATTCCTCTGCTTTCAGATTGTCAGTGTGGAGCAGAGGATGAGGAGATCCCTTCTGAGCAGAGTGTTTCTGGAGGAGAGTCACAGGTCAGGACTTCTCAGTTAGTTCCATCAAACCAGAAGACTCGTCCCTGTGAGAAGTGTGTCTCAGTCTTGAAAGACATTTTGCAGCTGACTGAGCTCCAGGCAGCATATCTTGGGCAGAAACCATACTTTGGTGGGGGGTCCAGCGGCTTCTGGTTGAATGCAAGCCTTCACCAGTATCAGGAGCATGGCAATGGAGAGAAAAACCTTAAAATGGATGTGGACAGGTCCTCGATTGTGACGAGCTGCAGACTCCATGTGTCAGGGAAGCCCTTCCCCTGTGGGGAAGATGGAAAAGACTTCCTAGCTACTTTGGGCCTTCATCAGCACCAGGCCACTCCCAACAGTGAGAAGCCACACAGCAGCATTGAGTCTGGGGAGGCCTTAAACAATGGAAAAAGTCATAACAAGTGGATTGAATGCAGGGAAGTTTTTGGCAACACTCATATACTTCACCACCAGAGAGTCTGCGCTGGAGAAGGTCTTGATGAGTGTAGCAAATGCAAATACAGATTTGTTCAGCACCAGCAAACTCACGTTGGAGAAAGGCCTTATGAGTGCAGTGAATGTGGGAAATTCTTTAGCCGTAAAACCCACCTCATTCGACACTGGAGGGTTCACACAGGAGCAAAGCCTTATGAGTGCAGTGAATGTGGGAGGCCTTTTAGCCAGAAATCTGACCTCATTCAACACCAAAGAGTTCACACTGGAGAAAAGCCTTATGAGTGCAGTGAATGTGGGAAATCTTTTATCCAGAAATCCATCCTCATTAAACACCAGAGAGTTCACACTAATGAAAGGCCTTATAAATGTGATCAATGTGGAAAATCGTTTAGCCAAAGTTCTGGCCTCCTTCGACACAAGAGAGCTCACACTAGAGCAAGGCCTTATGAGTGCAGTGAATGTGGGAAAGCCTTTAACTGTAAAACCCACCTCGTTCGACACTGGAGAGCTCACACTGGAGTTAGGCCTTATGAGTGCAGTGAATGCGGAAAATCTTTTAGTGAGAAATCTGTCCTCATTCAACACCAAAGAGTTCACACTGGAGAAAAGCCTTATGAGTGCAGTGGATGTGGGAAAGCCTTTAGCCAGAAATCTGTCCTCATTCAGCACCAGAGAGTTCACACAGGAGAAAGGCCTTATGAGTGCAGTGAATGTGGGAAATCCTTTAGCCGCAAAACCCACCTCATTCGACACTGGACGGTGCACACTGGAGCAAGACCTTTTGATTGCAGTGAATGTGGGAGATCCTTTACTCAGAGCTCTGGTCTCCTTCGACACAGGAGAGCTCATGTGCAGTGAGTGTAGGAAATCCTTTACCTGCAAATTTAACGTCGGTCAACACCAAAGAGTTCACACTGGAAAAAGTCTTGCACATGCAATGAACGTGCTTTTTTCTTACTTAGCATCATTGTGTTGGAGGAAAGCCTCTGTGAGGAACCATCTGCGTGAATTGAATCTCACGTTGGGATATCCACAGACTAGGAATTGATTCACTGTAAATTTCACGGTTGTGTTGGAAGCATGTGTAACCTGCCCAAGGTCACTGCCAGTTTCTGTGGCAGAAACTATCTCACCTCTAGCATCTGGCAGGCCCTCACAGTTGGCATCAGTCACAAGCCTAGTATGCTCAGAGCAACTGACCTCTGTGCTGTCCTGTTGGAGGAAATCGTGAGTATCCTGAGCCCTTATGGAGTCTTCATTCCCTTTTCTCTGACAAGTTAGGGCATGGACCTGACCTGTGTTGGCCCTGAGAACACTATCTGAGTTCTGCTGGCAGCTTGCAGAGAAGAACTAGCTTTTTCAGGGACACAGTTGGTCTCGGGTAGTTGTGATGAATATTTCCAGCTTCCAAGTCACCCAACCAGAAATTGCCTGTTGCACGTTGCTCTGGTTTGTGTAATAGTAAAGACTTTTTGTTTAAGCACCTTAATTTTGGAAATGCTCTTCACTGTGTGGAATAGTTTGAAAGCACAATAGGACCATCAACCTGAGGGGTAAATGACTTTTGTGGAGATCCGAACTTTGGGTGCCTCAGAGGACATGGTATGATGGCCAAATATAGGGCTTTCATTTTGGCCTAGTTTGCATTGCTGCCAAGGCCTCCTAGGAAAGAATACTTTGTTATAATTTTTTGCCTGGATACAAGAGTTCTGTGCATTCTAGTGCTTCTGGAGACAACATGGATTCTTTTTTTTCTTGCCCACAGGGGATAACACACAATGGCCAGCACTACTGAGGGAAATCTTAACCCTAGTTCTCCTCCAAAGCAACAATATATACCCTGATACCTGGAATTCCATAGGCTAGTGTCTATAGTTGTAAGGCTGCAGGGGCAGGGAAGACCGCAATTGGTACAGAAACACTGGTTACTAGGGAGTGGAGGAGACTGCAGCAAGCTACGTGGAATGTACCACTTCTAAAGGTACATCCACAAATGTTCTACTGACAATGACTGCAGGATGAGTGTGTCCAGAAATCTCAGGACCTCCAGGTATGTTTATGTTGTGAAGTCATTGGCAGACAAAATAAGGGTTTTGGGGGATTCCTCTAGGCTTTCTGAGCTGTTGACCTCAAGGCCATTGCTATACAGGCAATAGAAGAAGGATGGTGAGATACTGTGGTCCAGGCATGTGGCTTTTGTGACCCAGCCAGCAGCCCTCTTGACTCAACTAGAAATGGCCTTCACTGTTTGCCAGTATTTCCTGTCCCTGAGGAGAGGCTGCCCCTCAAGGCATGAGGAATGAGATAGTGGAGTAATTTTCTGAAGAGTGGGATATTTAGATTTTTATTATGAACCACTTTTTAAACCTGCATGATGGTATAATGGGCGTAGAAATGTTGTACATATATAAAGTGTACAATTTGATAAGTTTTCACATGTATACACTTGTGAAGCCATTATTATTATCATGATAATGAGCTATCTGTCACCAGCATATTTTCCTCATGCCCTTTTCTAGTCTCCTTGCTCTCCCTGGCCATACAGACAACCATTTATTCACATTCCTTTACAATAGATTGCATTTTCTAGAATGTTATGATTGATCATAAAGTGTTTACTTTTTTTTTTCTGGCTTCATTGATGCTACATAATTACTTTGAGAATAATTCATTGTACTGACATGAACATTCTTATTTCTAAGAATGCTTAGAAATGGAAGCTTTCTCTTCCATGTATAATTGACTATGTTCATACATTCGTCTGTTTATGGGTATTTCAGTTATTTCCAGTGTTTAGCTTTTATAAATAAAAGCTGATATGAACATTAGTTTACAATTACTTATATGGATATGTTTCATTTTTCTTGTATTAATAACTCAGTGCAGTACCTCAGTCATGGGGTAGGTGAATAGTATAACTTTTTAAGAAATTGCCAAACTGTAATCTAAAATGTTTGTGTTTTTTTGCATTCCCACCAGCAGTGTGTGAGACTTCCAATTCCTTCACACCATTGTCAATACCTGGTAAGGTTACTTTTTAATTTTACCCTTTTAAAATAAGTGTGTAGAGGTAATCCACTGGTTTTAATTGCATTTCCCTAAGGATTTACAACGTTTAGCATTATTTCATGTGTTTGCTGTATATCTTCTTTAGTAAGATGTCTATTCTTTTCTTTGTCCTATTTTCTATTTTGTGAATTTGGCTATTTGCTTTTTAGTTACAATAAGACAAACAACAAAGACATGTTGGTATTTTACTTATTCTTCAATGATGTGAGTGACTTCTTTGCTGCATGGAATCATTGTTGAATACTGGAAGGATATTTTGTTATTTTTTACTTTTTTTTTTTTTTTGATGGAATGCACAGTGTATGGACACCTATACCAAACATTTAAGTTTCATCAGCATTATTAACATATTCTCCATCACTTTTCTAAGTGTAGACATTCAATATACTGCATTCAGTAATACTATAAATCAAGCCTTAGTTTGTAGTGTTTGCCAGTTTCTTTGGTATAAATACCATGAACAATTTCAAACTACCAACCTGATGTCACTGAATAGAGTTGGGAAGAGTTGGCAGTATCACACCATTCTAAACAGAGAAATGATTAGACAGTGATGATGTTTCAATATTTGTAACTTAAAAGAGTTTAATTGATATATAATTGACTTATGTATATATTAAAAATGTCAATTTTGATGGTTTGATGCATAAAATTTCCTTAAGCCCTTTTTAAATTTGTGCTTTTCAACTTATAAGATTTCTGATATAGGATATAGTCTACTGTTTGTAATTGCTATTTTCAGATATATATAAAAGTAGAAAAGACTGTCATGGATTCCCAATCTTCTGTCATTATTTATAGTCATTTGCATTTCATCTCTCATGCACATTAGTGGGTTCTTTTACTTAAAATCCAGAGATTGTGTCGTTTAATGCATAGTTTCTTGAGAATGCTTTTCTAAAATGTAAGAGTATTTCCATAATGACAATAACTTTCTCACACAAAATAAAAATATTTTCAAATGTGATAAATATTTATCAGTGCTGAATTTTATCAATTTTCTCAAAAATATATTTGTTTTTTAAGGCAGACTACAGACGTATCTTGTTTTATTGTGCTTCACAGATACTGTATTTGTTTTTAATAAATTGAAGGTTAGTGGCAACCCTGCACTGAGCAAATCTATCAGCACCATTTTTCAAACAGCATTTCCTCATTTTGTATCTTTGTGTCACATGTAATTCTCACAAGTTTTCAAACTTTTTCATTATTATTATACTTCTTATGAGATCTGTGATTAGTTATCTTTGATGTTACTTTTTAAATTTTTTTGTCTGTGCCATGCAGCTTGTGACATCTTAGTTCTCTGGCCAGGCATTGAACCCGGGCCCTCGGCAGTGAAAGCACAGAGTACTAACCACTGGACTGCCAGAGAATTCCCAGTTGGTTTTTTTGTTACTTTGTTTTTTGCTTTTGTGATGTTACTATTGTAATTGTTTTGGAGCACCATGAGTTGTACGCCTGTAAGATGGTGAACTTAATTGATAAATGTGCGTTCTGACTGCTCCACTGATTGGCCATTACGCTGTCTTTCTCTCTCTCCTTGGCCTCCCTATTCCCTGATACACAACAATATTGAAATTAGGCCAACTAATAACCCTACAATAACCTCCAGTGTTCCAGTGAAAGGTTAGAATCACTTCATGTCTTTCACTTTAAATCAGAAGCTAGAAATGATTAAGCTTAATGAGGAAGGCATGTCAAAAGCTAAGAGCTTGTCTGTCGGGAGTGGGCCCAGAACAGTATTTATATACTTTTTTCAAACTTACATACATACATATATATATATATATATATATATATATTTTTTTTTTTTTCGGTATGTGGGCCTCTCACTGTTGTGGCCTCTCCTGTTGCAGAGCACAGGCTCCGAACACGCAGGCTCAATGGCCATGGCTCACGGGCCCAGCCGCTCAGCGGCTTGTGGGATCTTCCTGGACCAGGGCACGAACCCGTATCCCCTGCATCAGCAGGCGGACTCTCAACAACAGCGCCACCAGGGAAGCCCCAAACTTATACTTTTGGCGTTGTTTGGGCCATGCACCTTTATAGCAATATGTGTATTTACTAGGAGAGTCAGGATCCAGCAAAAGGAACAGCAGAAGCCAATGTAGTTTGAGATTCTAATTTTGAGCTCCATCCAATTAGTGCTACTGGGGCAAAGCTTTAAGGTTTGGAAGCCACCAAGGAGGCAGGTAGTGCTGAGGGAAACCCCTCTGGCTACTCTATGAAAATAGAACACAAGTTTATATCCAGCAACGACCAGGAAATATTTCAGTCCAAACACTGTTATTTCATGAGGGATCCCTTTGGAGAAAAGAACTAAGCAGTTGGCTAGGACAAGGTGGTTGAGGATTTGGTCTCTGGGTGTGAGACTTCTTCCAGTGAGTGAAGTGAAAGTAAAAAAACAAAGAAGTGAGGAGTTTCCCAGGACCCCAACTTTCATCTGAATGAGGAGGATAATCACCCAGTCCAGGTTAGTAGAAACCATCACATCAATAACTTAGGGATAATGTTTAATCGGAGTCAGAAGAATCAAATTGATGTTTGATGCCAGGACAGTAACTGCAGGGGCAGCATCCATACAGGTGTGGAAAGGAGTCATCTGGACACTGATGCAGTCACCCAGAGGCAGAGCTCTCCCCCAGTCCCTGGGGCTCCAGGTATTCCTGCATGCTGGCAGGTTGTGTTCCTTTCTGGAGGCTCTGGGGAACCAGATTCTTGCTTGTTTGGGTTGTTGGCAGAGTTCAATTCTATGTGGTTGTAGGACTGAGGACTCTCAGTTCCCTAGATGCTCTCTGCTTATGTTGAGGGTATCTGGGAAGTCCCAGTTTCTTCAAAGAGGTTTTTGTGTGACTGACAGCTCTGACCTTTCCATCTTGCTGAGTCAGGACTAAGGTTGCTGGCTGTCAGACGTGTACTGTCCTTAGCTCCTACGGTTCCTCTCCCATCCTAGTACAAAGCTGTTATCTCAAAACCATCAAACGCCCTTATCATACCACCATATCTCTGACTCTGATGTCTGCAACTTTATCCCTGCAGCTGGGATAGTTTCTCCACTTTTTAAAATTAGTTAGTTAATTAATTAATTAATGTTTTTGATGGGTTTTGCTGGACGTTACAAGTACTTTTTTTTTTAATTAATTTTTATATTTGGCTGCATTAGGTCTTGCTGTGCACGGGATTTCTCTAGTTGCAGCGAGTGGGGGCTACTCTTCATTGTGGTGCTCGGGCTTCTTATTGCAGTGGCTTTTCTTGTTGCGGAGCATGAGCTCTAGGCACCTGGGCTCAGTAGTTGTGGCTCACAGGCTCTAGAGCACAGGCTCAGTAGTTATGACACATGCGCTTAGTTGCTCCACAGCATGTGGGATCCTCCTGGACCAGGGCTTGAACCTGTGTCCCCTGCATTGGCAGGCGGATTCTTAACCACTGCGTCACCAGGGAAGTTCTAGTTTCTCTACTTTTAAAGACTTATCTGTATTTTTTTTAAAGATTATTTTCTTTGTATTGTAGTAAAAAATACATAACATCAAATTTATCATCAACCATTTTTTAAATATATATGTAAATTTATTTATTTATTTTTGGCTGTGTTGGGTCTTCGTTTCTGTGCAAAGGCTTTCTCTAGTTGTGGCAAGGGGGGGCTACTCTTCGTTGTGTTTCATGGGCTTCTCATTGAGGTGGCTTGTCTTGTTGCGGAGCACAGGCTCTAGGTGTGTAGGCTTCAGCAGTTGTGGCTTGCAGGCTCAGTAGCTGTGGTGCACGGGCTTAGTGGCTTCATGGCGTGTGGGATCTTCCTGGTCCAGGGATTGAACCCGTGTCCCTTGCATTGGCAGGTGGATTCTTAACCACTGAGCCACTAGAGAAGTCCCCCAGCACCATTTTAAACAAAACTCCATTTTGTTTCACATTTCACACTTGGGATTAGAACAAAAACACTGACGGAAGAGACATGTTCCTATGAGACCTCAGTGCACATGAATTAAAGTGTTTCTTTTTGTCCTGTTAATCTGTCTAGTGTCACTTTTTTTTTTTTTTTGACCACACTGCGGCATTCGGGATCTTAGTTCCTGGACCAGGGATCTAACCCATGCCCCTTGCAGTGGAAGCACAGAGTCTTAACCATTAGACGGCCAGGGAAGTCCCTTGTGTCAATTTTATTATTAGTCCAGCCACAGGAACTCAAGAGGGATAGAGGGGGAAATTTCCCCCTCCCTGACATAACCTTGCCTCAGTCTCCCATAGTCACAGTACCCATTTCTTTCAGATATTCCATATTGGGCATAGATGCTTTGGCACAATAGAAATGGATTAAAATCAAGACTTTGATATTTACAAATTGGCTTGATAAATGTGACCCCTTGTAAGTCAAAACAGGACCTTCAAGGATTAAATGTGTAATAAAATGGTGATTATACCCCACTGCTTCTCCATTTACAGTCCAATTTTGCTTGTTCTTAAATCTGAAAAAAATGAGCACCACTTGATAGATTACTACAACCTTAATGCTATGGTCCTGTTCATCAATGTTCCATATCCAATACCCAGTAAAAGTTACTGATTCTGTTCAATCAATAACGGGTGAATATTTTTTGCTCTATAGATTTGGCTGACATATTCTGTTCAGTGCCTGTTTCAATAGCCTCTACTGCAGTTTGTTTCTACCTTAAGAGGGATACAATACACCTTTTCCTGGCTACTCCAACATATTCGTCATTACAAATTTTACTTCCAAATTAAAATCAGCAGGCATTCCTGATAGTGCCCTCAGAAACTCTACCAGAGAGGATTTGGCAGTTTCTCCTTAAACCTGCTGGAGTCTGGACACATGATGGCTGTAAGTTGACCAAGGGCTTCTGATACAAGAAGCTGGCCTTCTCTGCCCATGCTGTCTGCCATTAAAACCACCAATGGGGTTTCCCTGGTGGTGCAGTGGTTGAGAGTCCGCCTGCCGATACAGGGAACACGGGTTCGTGCCCCTGTCTGGGAAGAACCCACATGTCACGGAGCAGCTAGGCCCGTGAGCCATGGCCGCTGAGCCTGCGCGTCCGGAGGCTGTGCACTGCAATGGGAGAGGCCACAACAGTGAGAGGCCCGCATACTGCAAAAAAAAAAACAAGAAACACCGATGACTGTCTACCTCCTGTGTCTTCTGGAAATAGAGGCTCTCACAGACCCTGAGCCTGTGACTCTCTGTATTCAGCTGCCCACCATGCTTTGAGTCATGGAAACAACACAGTCCAAGCTCAGCACAGCTACTGAGGCCTCCGTAGATTAAAACAGCCTGGAAACAAACCTGGAACCTCTGGCATATTCCACCTGTAGGAGTGGTGGCATCCTCTGTCTTTAGTTACATGCCAGATTCCATGGTGCTGGAAGGTCACCTCCATTCAGGCCCCTTGTCTACCTGGAGAGCCCCTTGGGATTAACTGAGTGAACTGCAGTGGAAGATGAACAGCACTGCCAACCATCAGACATGGTGGAGCTCAGTGAAATGTTGCTTCTTTCCATCCTTTAGCCAGGACATCCCTGATAAAGCACAGGACCCAAGGGACAGCACCCTTGGGCAAACTTCAGGCAAGAATCCTAGCATGGGATGACCTGGCTCACAATGGCCACATCTCCACATTTCTTATAAGCTGTTGGGTCATTACTTAAAAATTGTCCCCTTGGTAAAAATAGCAAGAACCTCTAGGAATCTCTTGTCTCACAGTTAAATCAAAATCACACGTCTCAACATGTATTAACGCCACAATATGAGGCCTTGCCAGGACATTCCTTTTTCATTCGGAGTTATAATTTAAACCTAAACTTCCTCCACAAATAAACCAAAAACCTGTCAAATGCAGCTGCACACCATTCTTGTGACTTGATTTTTCTGCTTCTGGTCTGAGTACTTTTATCAATTTTCAAGAAGCTCCAACCCTCCAAGGAAGCCATTGTTTCAACTAAACATGGCAAATGCTGAGGTCCACATCAACTCAAGCAGGTACCCTCTTCGAAGGGACAGTCCCATCCAACATCCCAGACAACATCATCCTGGCCCAGGAGCTCGTTGCTGGAGATGACATCACCTCAGATGATAACAGTTCAAATGACGTTGTCCCAACCCAAGACCTCAAAGTTGGAGTTGACTTCACCCCTTACACTAAAATCTTCACCCCGGCAATGCCCATGGACTGCCTCTCCTAAGGCACAAATTGGATGCAGGACATGTATTGCATTTCTTCCTTTCTTTTATTATTATTTTTAAAGGCATTTATTTATTGAGGCTGCGTTGGGTCTTCGTTGCTGCACACAGGCTTTCTCTAGTTTCAGAGAGCAGGGGCTACCCGTTGCGGTGCGTGGGCTTCTGATTGCGGTGGTTTCTCGTTGTGGAGCACGGGTTCTAAGGCGCGTGGGCTTCAGTAGTTGTGGTGCAGGGGCTCAGTTGCTCCACAGCATGTGGGATCTTCCCGGAGCAGGGCTCGAACCTGTATCCCCTGCGTTGGTTACGTGCATGTAAAGAACAATAAATAAAAGCTGTGAATCAAGTTTATTCAGTATCTTACTGAGAACTACCGCCCAGGAGACAGCCTCTCAGATAGCTCTGAGAAACTGTTCTGAAGAGAAAAGAAAGGAGGTCAGGGGACTTCCCTGGCAGCCCAGTGGTTAAGACTCTGCACTTCCAGTGCAGGAAGTGCAGGTTCCATCCCTGGTCAGGGAACTAAGATCCCACACGCCGCTAGTCACGAGGAATTTTAGTTAATGGTTTTGGTGTTTTTCTAAGAATGGGAAGATGCAAGAATCCAGATTCATAAAAAATTTCTCCTCAAAAAAATGTAACTTTCTGAAAGCCTGTTCTGCCAGTTTTCCCAGAGCACAGAGTGCCTCATTCCTTACCTCTGCCCTGATCTATTTTCAGCGTGTGCTGGGGATCAGTGACTGCAGTGGCTAGTGACTCAATCCTTATAGATCCAGATGGCTAGCAGCATTCTTTAGTTGGCACTAACAATGTACATATTTTATGTCCAAATGACTTTATGGAATTGTTTGTCCATTTGTATCTGTAGACTCTTCATTGGAGTATAATTGCTTGACAATGGTGTGTTAGTTTCTGCTTTATAACAAAGTGAATCAGCTATACATATATCCCCACTATCTTCTCCCTCTTGCGTCTCCCTCCCATCCCCCCATCCCACCCCTCTAGGTGGTCACACAAAGCACAGAGCTGATCCCCCTGTGCTATGCGGCTGCTTCCCACTAGCTATCTATTTTGCATTTGGTATTATATATAAGTCCATGCACTCTCACTTCATCCCATCTTACCCTTCCACCTCCCCTTGTCCTCAAGTTCATTCTCTACATCTGCATCTTTATTCCTGTCCTGCCCCTAGGTTCTTCAGAACCTTTTTTTTTTTTTTTTAGATTCCATATATATGTGTTAGCTTATGGTATTTATTTTTCTCTTTCTGACTTACTTCACTCTGTGTGACAGGCTCTAGGTCCACCCACCTCACTACAAATAACTCAGTTTTCGTTTCTTTTTATGGCTGAGTAATATTCCATTGTATATATATGCCACATCTTCTTTATCCATTCATCTGTCAATGGACATTTAGGTTGATTCCATGTCCTGGCTATTGTAAATAAAGCTGTAATGAACATTGTGGTACATGATTTTTTTTTTTTTTTTAACAGTACACGGGCCTCTCACTGTTGTGGCCTCTCCCGTTGCGGAGCACAGGCTCCGAACGCGCAGGCTCAGCAGCCATGGCTCACGGTCCTAGCCGCTCCGTGGCATGTGGGATCTTCCTGGACCGGGGCACGAACCTGTGTCCCCTGCATCGTCAGGCGGACTCTCAACCACTGCGCCACCAGGGAAGCCCACATGATTCTTTTTGAATTATGGTTTTCTCAGGTTATATGCCCAGTATGTGTCTGTAGACTTTGGGAGCACTTATAATATTACTTTTACCGTCTGGGAACATGCTTAATGGGGTCTGAAATAGTATTTCTGAAAACTTTTAGTGATTACTTGCAGACAACACTCCCCGTAAGTCTCCCTACAGCCACTCTAAGAAATAACGAAAGCCTCCTCTCCAGCCTAGTTAGATCCCTCGCAGTGCTTCTGGATTTGTGGGGGTGGGACCACCAGCTGGAGCCCTAGCTAGACCTCTGAGAACTACATTTCCTAGAGGACTGTGTGCCGAGAGGCAGCATGTCTAAGCCAATGAAAACCCAGGGTAAAGACATTCCTGCGCATGCGCTTCTCATCGGGGAGGGACTTCCGGCCGCCTCCTCGTGGCGGCCATTTTAATTGCTCTGGATTTGTTCTAGTTCAAGAGCGCTCCGTGGGGGCTGAGATGGCTGAGCTAAGGAGTTCCAAGTGGAGGTGTCCCCGTTGCACAGAGACGGGTCTGAAGTTCGGCGACACCGCCTGGGGTGTCCCGCGTCAGACCCTGGATAAGGCCGGTCGTGGCTGGGTCCCCTCTGTTCTCCCGCCGCTACCGGCCCAGCTCCACCCACAGAGTCCGAATGCGGTGGCGGCGCTAAGGGACCCGCCTCAGGTAAACGCTCGTCCTCCGGGCCCTCACCCCCCCACCCCACCAGACACTAGATCCCCTGCCCACGTGCCCGCAGCTCAGGCCGCTATGTCCAGGACGGTGAGGCGGTCGTGGATGGGCTCTGTTTCTGACAGTGTGATGGTGCGTGGGAGAGGGTGACAGGCGGGGGGACCGGCAGGTGCAAAGGCTTGGAGGTGGGACTGAGGAGGGAGGATTCGGGAAACCTGGAACTGTCTTGTATTTGCATGGAGTAGAGAGTGTGAGGTGGACTCGCACCTGCACTGTCAAGCTGAGGGGTTTGTACCTCCGTTCTGAGGACCCTGGCAGCCATGGTGGGTTGTGAAGAGAAGAGGGATATAGTCTGATTTAGGGTTTTAAAAGCTTTCCAAGAGCTACTCTGAGGGAGAACAGATTGGAATGGGGGTGATGAGGGTAGTGAGGCACAGGGAGGTTGAGTCCTTGTCCAACATAGAACTGGGAAGAGGCAGCACTGAGGTCTGAAGCAGAGAGTTTAGTCTTTTAGCCCAAGGTCATCTGGCCTCCAGGGCTGGCGAGGGGTACAGGGAGTTTTGAGCCCCTTGGAATACACCTTTATGGCTTGCTTCTGCCCACAGGTCCCCATGACTGAGGAAGCACTTAGGGAACCTACAAAGGGAAGTGGAGGGTGTCCCAGGCCCTCACTGGCTTGGATCTCACTCATATGAACTTGAGATTGTGGTGTCGTGAGACTCTTCACCTGCCATTTTCCCAGCCATTGGGTTTGGGGATCTGGGAGAAATCCTCTAGACACATTCTAGTCCAGGCCAAGGGTTTCATGGAAGAGTTGCTTTCTGGTCATCTGTGAAAAATGGTGTAGAAGGTTATCCCAGAAACAGGTACAGCATGTTCAAATGTTTGGTAGTGTGTCCACAAACTGGGAACAGGGCACAGCAGGTCTCCTTTCTTTTAGCAACAGAGAGCAAGGGTACAGGAGTCAGTCTTGTAATGTGGCTGTCTGAGAAGTTGGGCATCTATTGTGGAGGTAATGGGAGATTTGGAAAAGAGGAGGGAGATGATCTTACTTAGGTATAAACAGGCTCCATCTGGTTACAGAGTGGAAAACAGTCTTTGGGAGGAGGAAGGATGACCAGGGAGGAGGGTACTGCAGAAGTCCTAGTGCGTGTTCATGGACCAGAGTAGTGGCTGTGGAGTTGGAAGAAGTGGTTGGATTCTGGATCCATTATTTAAGAAGGGCTGCCCAGATTTTCTGATTTTGAGGGTGGGAGAGAGAATGGTAAGAGTCAGTGATGGCACTAAAGTTTTGGTCTTAGCAGCTGAAAGACTGGAAGCTTAATTAACTGAGATGAGATAATCAGTAGTAAGAGTGATTTTCATTGGAGATATCAGGAATTTTGGTTTTGGCTGTGTTAAAATTATGAGATTTCTCAGAAAACAAAGGAGTAGTGACATCAGGTGGGCAGCACAGAGATCTGGAAATCTGGGGTGTGGTTCGGGATGGAGACATCTGAAAGTGGTGGCTAGTGTCTGCACCAGTGTGGAACTATGGATTGTATTTAGAAGGTGGAATTCAGGCCATGGTGATATTGTTACTAGCAGGTCAGAAAGAAGTGTATAAGTTCCAAGAATTGATCTATTGCTTGGGCACCTGGTTGGGGGTTATGGACATCATAAACACAGATGTAGGAGAGAAATAGCCATGAAGGGAGTATGTGTGGGGCCTGAGGTGTTGGCAGGTGTCCAAGACTTCCAAAGGAAGAGTAGACAGACAGATGCAGAGGCAGAGAACTAACAGAGATAAGATGCATTTGCTAGAATTTTGTGGTGAGCTTTGGTGGGATGTTTCAGTAGATAATGTAGATAACATAATGGGAAAATGTGGTTATCTGTGAGAATCACTATGCTTAGTGTGGGTACCATTGTGGCTGGGATTTTAATGGGGGTTAGGTGGAGAGAGGAGGATTGTGGCTGCTGAGGGAATGAGTACAGCCTAGAAGTAGGAGAGGGTTATGGGTATCTGAAATACACATATGGTTCTGTATGACTAATGTTGAAGCTAGAATTAGAAACAGGCAGAAAGGCCTTCAAAGTGTTTTGGGATCCATCAGAGGTCTTGGGTAGAATTGGATTCTGTTTGAATTTGCCAGGTTCTCTGGGGTGAGTCCAGGAAGATGACTATAGTGTGGGACAGAGAGTTGGCAGTGGCTGCGAGGATGCAACCGTGGGGTCTGGAGATGTGAGAGAGGTACATGTGGAGAGAGGGAGCATGAATTGATGGACCCTGGGCCCTGGTACAGGAGACTTAAGGGTGATGGGTGACTCCACATTTTATTGTGAGGCATGATATGGAAGACCCCCTGGAAATTGCCTGACAGGAAGAGATGGAGCCATGCAGTTCTGTCCCTGAGCATCTCTCTGATGGCATCTCTCTGCCTACCTGTCTGTAGTTGCTGAGGCCTGGGCACAGTGATTAGTGGAACCATGAGGAGAGAGCAGTACCAATGGCATCAGGTTCTGGTGTCTCACCTGAAGTGGGGAGCCTGGAAGAAACTTGGGCATGGGCTGGATGTGTGCAGGATGGATTGTGGGTCCTCAGGAGAAAGGACCAGTGGTTTCATCTGTCCCCATCATGACAGGCTAGTGTGACTTTGGAGGACGTGGCTGTGTACTTCTCCTGGGAGGAATGGAGTCTCCTTGATAAGGCCCAGAGACACCTGTACCATGATGTGATGCTGGAGATCTTTACACTTATATCCTCACTGGGTAAGGCCTGCACACCCACCCCTATGACCTGGGCTAGACTTTGCCTTTCTGCTTTTCCTTAGGGGCTGCTCTGTCCTTCCTGCATCCAAACCATGGGGACTACTTCCTTTCCTAGTTCCTTTGGAAGGTGCTGTTGTTGCTAGGGCTGGGTTGTTTGCACTGCCCTTTTCTCTCCTTGGAGACCTAATACCTGCTGCTCTGAAGCCTAGTAGGAAGCCAAATGGGTCCCATCTTGCTTGCCTCCTCCCTAGTTGGGTGACTTTGCAGATCCATGGTTCCTAGGTTTTGCTCCCTTCTTCTGACTGTTCTTTCGTGCCTGCCTGTGCCAAGAATTGCACGCCACTGGGCATAGGCACTAGTTAGGTGCACCATGAGCTGTGTTTGTGATACCCTCATCTGAGGTTCTTTTTGTAACATTTATTTTTCTTTTCTGTGCTCTGTTATGTGATGTTTCTTTGGGCTGGAACTGGCCACTTGCCTGCCCTGTCTGTCCCTTAGGATTTGAATTTTCTAAGTCCCATGTAGTTAATGTGGGTTGCAGGGGAGAGTCCTGGGTGCTTCATAGAATGGCCCACTGTGGCACGATGGGCTAGAGGGGGCCTGGCAAGGACATGACATCAGGGTTGTGTTCACATCATACCAGGAACCTGTTCAAACTAGTGTTTTGGTGCCACTGCTGGATGCCACACCTCATTTCCATCTCTTCTTCCCCATTCTTTATACTTGGCCAGCTTGTCACTTTAACTCTAACTTCTGGCCCCTGGCTATACCCAACTTTCCTTCCTCCACCTGTTACCTATTCTTCTCTACTGCTGCATCTGCTGTGTTCTCCAGTGTTGGCTCACATGTAACAGGTGGTGTGCACATATCCTTGATAGTCCTTGAAAACCAGTTAGTCATTTGCAAATGGATTTTTCTATCCCTGGACAAAAATTTCTGTACAACACTCACATGTTAGCAGCAGCTAAAGCACTGCTCAAGGTGTGAGGAGTGAATTTAAAGCTGCCTGCCTCTCCTCACTCTGCTGCATCACATTCTTAACAGTTTTTCATCTTGTGAGATTTCCCTACTTCTGTAACCTTTTAGAGTCCCAGTACTGCAAAACAGCCTCTTCCTCGTCCTGACTCCAACTCTGTCATCCTGAAAACCACCTCATGTATTCATTCTTTGGTGTGCCAGACACATATTTGTGATGTGGCTGCCACCAGTCCCCAAAGTGAAGTCCCCATGTACTTCACTAGCATTTTTCTGTTTTCAGGTTGTTTGTGTGGCATAGAGGATGACAAGACTCCTTCAGGACAGAGTGTTTCTCAGGAAAGAATGCCACAAATCAGGACTCTAAAGCCAGATCTGTCAACCCAGAAAGCTCATCTCTGTGAGATGTGTGCTCCTGTCATGAAGGACGTTTTGTACCTGGCTGAGCATCAAGGAACATATACTGGGCAGAAATCGTGTACATGTGTAGCATGTGGGGAACAATTCTGTTTCAGGGCAAATCTTGACCAACACCAGGAGGAGCACAGTGGGGAAAAACCCTGCAGCAAGGGTATGAACAGGACCTCCTTTGTGAAGAGCTATGGAATCTATTTGTCAGGGAAGCCTTTCACCTGTGGGGAGGGTGGAAAGGACACTGTGGGCCTTTTCCAGTACCAGGCCACTCCCAAAGCAGTACTGAATATACACAGCAGTACTGGCTGTGAGGAGCCCTTTCACTGTGGAAAAAGTCCTTACAAGTGTGGTGAATGTGGGAAAGCCTTCCGCTGCAAACGTACACTTGTTCAGCACCAAAGAATTCACTCTGGAGGACTGTATGAGTGCAGTGAATGTGGGAAAACCTTCACTTACAAGCACACATTTCTTCGGCACAAGACGCTTCATACTGGAGAAAGGTCTTTTGAATGCAGTGAATGTGGGAAGACCTTCAGGTTCAAATATAAACTTGTTCAGCACCAGCGTATTCACACTGGAGAAAGGCCTTATGAGTGTGCCGAATGTGGGAAAGCTTTTGGGTGCAAATCCAAACTTGTTCGGCACCAGAGAATTCACACTGGAGCAAAGCCTTATGAGTGTACTGAATGTGGCAGATTCTTTAGACAAAGTTCCAGTCTTGTTCAGCATCAGAGAATTCACACAGGAGCAAGGCCTTATGAATGTGGTGAATGTGAGAAATCTTTTAGCCAAAGCTCTAGCCTCATTCAGCACCGCAGAATTCACACTGGAGAAAGGCCTTATGAATGCAGTGAATGTGGGAAATCCTTTAGCCAAAGCTCCAGCCTCATTCAACACCGAAGAGTTCATACAGGAGCAAGGCCTTATGAGTGCAGGGAATGTGGGAAATCCTTTAGCCAAAGCTTCAGCCTCATTCTACATCGGAGAATTCACACTGGAGAAAGACCTTATGAATGCAGTGAATGTGGAAAATCTTTTAGCCAAAACTACAGCCTCATTCAGCACCATAAACTTCACACTAGATAAAGGCCTCAAGAGTTCAGCCAACATGAGAAAGCCTTCAGTTACCAGTCTGCTCTGATTCAACACCAAAATCTCACAACTCAGTTCTAAGTTTTAGGAATTCAGCTAATGTGGAAAAAATACCTTCTGGATAAGGAAATCTACATAAGATAATGGCCTTAGACCTTCAGGGAATTTGCTATCTCTTTGCTCAGTGTGATAGCACTAGAGAGCCTCTATGAGGAGCAATCTGCCATGAGTTCCAGGTATGTGAGAAATTTTCAGGAGCAGCATTTCATATTTTACCTGCTCAGGAACCTTGCCATAATTAAGTCACTGCCAGATTCTGTGGCAGAAGTCAACTCGCCTCTACCATCTGGCAGGTCCTCATAGTGTGCATCAGTCACCACAGCATGCTCAGAGAAGACAGATGTTTGTACTCTCTCTCCCATTCTCTAGAGGAAATCGTAGTCGAAGCCCCTAGGGAGTTCCCATTCCCTTCTCTCTAACTAGTTATGGCATGGACCTGACCCAGTTTGGGCCCAAAGGACCCAGTCTGGGAACTGCTGGTGGCTTGTAAAGCTTTCCTTCTTCATGGCATTGTTGGTCTTAGGGGTGAAACTTTTGAAGCATTTTCTGTCCTCCAAGTTGCCAACCTGGGAACGATCTGCTGCATATTGCTCTGATTTGTACAATAATAAAAATCTTATTGTTTAAGTCACCTTTAATCTTAACAGTTTTATTCACTATGTGGGGTAGTTGAAAACAGAATTTGAAAAACAAAATGAAAATAGAATTTGGCTTTGCTAGTGTGAACAGGTGGACAGGTTTCATGAGGGTTTCAGGGAACAGTATGGTGTAAGAAAGTCTGTCTTACTACAGTTTTTGTCTAAGCTGTATTCCTGTCTGTGGTAAAATAAAAAAGTAAATATTTGATGCTTGTCCCTGGTTCCTGGCAGAGATCTTCTAAAACCCTTGGAATTTCCTGAGTAATAAGAGTTTTTTTGTGTGATAATGAAATGACTCAAGGTGGAGGCCTGTACAGATCTTCAGCATGGGGGCTGGTCACCAGATATTAAAGGGTTAGAACTTTTAAGCCCCACCCCTGACATCTGGGGAGGGGAAGGAGCTGGAGATTGAGTTCAGTCACAATGGCCAGTGATTTAGTCAACTGTGCCTATGTAATGATACCTTAGTAAAAAATCCCTAAACAGTAGGGTTTGGGGAGTTTCCATGTTGGTAGACACATCCAACCAGGAAGGGAGGTATACCCTGATTCCACTGGGTTAGAGGCTCCTGTGCTTGGGGTTCTTTTGGACATCACTTTATCTGGCTGTTGACTTGTGTCCTTCATAATAAACTGTAATTGTAAGTATAGCATTTTCCTGAGTTCTATAAGTCATTCTAGCAAATTATCAAACCAGATTTGTAGTCGACTTGGCAGAAGTGGGAGTAGCCTTGGAACCCATTTTGTGGTTGGCAGTCTTATGGGACTGAGTCCTTAATGGGTGGGGTCTGCACTAACTCCAAGTAGTTAAGTGTCAGAATTGAATTGAATTGTAGGATACCCAGTTGGTGCTGCAGAATTGGTGATGGAATGACATATTTGGTGTCAGAAAAAGCCATACGATGTACAAGGCATTCTGGGAAAGACTGCTGACATCTGTGGTCCTAATAAGTACCTTGGATGTCAGGGTTTTTTTGTAGACCCAAAGACCACCCTCAAGAGAGCACAGCTGTTACAAACTACAATACTTTTGGAACTGCAGTATCTAGGATGTGATAATTGTTCCCAGGTATAGTGAGAAATCAGTAGCACTTAGATTATGCAACATGACATTATTGAAGCCTGATAATCTAAAGTGAATTCAGAAAATACAAAGTGCTGATTAATCTTTCTTTGGCTCTGAAATTATTGTGAGATTCTTAAATATTAAAACCAGTTTTAAAAATCTTCATATCAATATTTACCATTAAACTTGGAGTTAAATTTTAGGATCGTCTCTGCATGGAAATTTTATTAAGACCATAGATGATGACTTCCTCATTGCACAATTTCCACCTACACTTTTATCAGCCCAGAGAACCTTTGCTGCAGTCTCCATGTTCCATTTGCTCAGCCACCATCTCTTACAAAAAGCCTCACTATAGGCGTACCTCAGATGTTGTGGGTTCAGTTCCAGACCACTGCAGTAAAGCAAATATTGCAGTAAAGGAGGTCACATGAATTTTTTGGTCTCCCAGTGCTTATAAAAGTTATGTTTATACTGTAGTCTATTAAGTGTACAATAGCATGATGTCTGAAAGAACAATGGACATACTTTATTTAAAAGGTACTTTATTCCTAAATAAAAAATGTTAACCATCATCTGAGCCTTCAGTGAGTCATAATTTTTTGCAATAGTAACATCAGACACCACTGATAAAGATCATAACAAATATAATAATGATGAAAATGTTTGAATTGTTGCAAGAATTACCAAAATGTGACATAGCCATAAAGTGAGAAAATGCTGTTGGAAAAAAACAGCACCAATAGACTTGCTTGACGCAGAGTTGCGACAAACCTTCAATCTGTAAAAAAAAAAACTCGGTGTCTGCAAAGCACAATAAAATGAGGTATGCCTATAAGTTGCCTTTTGTTTGAAGGGAACACATATTGCAGAGCTGAACTGTAGTTCTAAAAATTTTTTTTTTAATCTTAAGTTTTTGTTTTATAATATTTATTTTTTAATTAATTAATTTTGGCTGTGCCAGGTCCCAGTTGTGGCACGCAGGATCTTAGTTGCAGTATGCAGACCTCTTAGTTGCAGCATGCATGCAGGATCTAGTTCCTTGACCAGGGATTGAACCTGGGCCCCTTGCATTGGGAGCACAGAGTCTTACCCACTGGACCACCAAGGAAGTCCCTATTTTTGTTTTTTTACCCTAAATCTGCACTCTTTGATCTGACATCCAGAATGCTAAGGGCTTCTTAAAATCTTAGTTTCGCTTTGTAGACTCACCCCACTTGAATTCTTATTATGAACTCAGTAGCATCTTCATGGCGTGTCATAGGCCATTTATAGTGGAACATATAATTCCTACTTATGGTTCTAATGAGAACTGTCCTTACAGCACAACCACTAGATCCCAGCAGTTAGGGAAGTGTACTTGCACCCTACCCCAATAATCCTTGGCCCAGTTGCACATGCTAGCCGCTTACTGCAGGGAGCATAAGATGCAGATACAGTGGAAGGCCAGATCCATCATCGGGTTCACAAACACATTCTCTGCTCTTCAAAGCTACATAATTCCTGAACTCAACAATCACTGCTCTAACATTCCATTGCTCCTGTTGGATAAAAAGACTCTGTATTTTGATTACTTATTAGTCTTACTAACTGCCACCACCTGCAAACTTCACATCACTTAGTTGGGGAATGTCCAGATAACCTAGGACCTCTTCTAGCCTGAATTGTCCTACTAATTAGTCCTACTAATTATCTATAAATGTTTAGTCCATCTGCTTAAAGAGCTATCATTACTGATCTATCATTTAAAAGATTCCAAATCCTGGTCAAGGACTTTACCTGAATGCTCCAGTTGTCCCCTATTCCAGCAGGACCTTCCCCACTTCTGCTACTTGCCTGCCCAGCTTGGTGTTCCTAGCTTAATATATTCACCAAAAACCTCAAGAATCTCAAAACTATTTGTTACTTCATATAAAGTTCCCCCAGGATTACTTCTATCTATATTAACATTCTGCCTTTATACAGAGAAAAGAAAATCATTATTTGATTTTATTTGACAATACCCTCTGCCTCCCAAATCTAAAATATTTTATGGGCTCCCTTATGTTGAGAAGGTAGTGATGCCTCCACTGAATTTAGGGTCAATCCCTCCATTAATGCCATCTAAGGATGATTTTCCCATGACTTAGCTTCTGAGGGGTTTTGTTCTTGGTTTTGTAAATCTATTGATGATAAACCACCAATCATTGATCTTCAGTCTTTTAATCTGTTTTACAAATAGCATCAATAAAATTTGTGTACTTCATAAAATAGCTACCCTTCACTCTATGATCTAGTACATTTTTTTTCTGTTCTACCATTTCTCTCCCTCATGCTTTATGGCTAAACTTTTATGAGCATTTTCTCTCTCTTTTTGTTTCTATTACCTCAACTCCTATGTAGTTCTCTAATCTTTCTAATGAGAGTTTTTATCTTCACAACTCCATCATCATTAATGAATTTAAGATTTTCCTTAAAGTTCCTTTCAGGAGCTTTTGACACCATTTTTTTCCTTTATATTCTTAATATACTGGATTTGTTTTATTTATTTTATTTTTATTTTTTTTGCGGTATGTGGGCCTCTCACTGCTGTGGCCTCTCCCGTCGTGGAGCACAGGCTCCAGATGTGCAGGCTCAGTGGCCAGGGCTCACGGGCCCAGCCGCTCCGCGGCACGTGGGATCCTCCTGGACTGGGGCACGAACCCGTGTCCCCTGCATCGGCAGGTGGACTCCCAAGCACTGCACCACCAGGGAAGCCCTTTTTTTTTTATTTTTTAATTAAAAAAAATTCTTTTTTAGCTTGTTGTGCAGCTTGCAGAATCTCTGTTCCCCAACCAGAGATTGAACATGGGCCACAGCATGAAAGCCCAGAAGGAATCCTAATTACTGGACCACCAGGGAACTCCCTGGATTTGTTTTTCTTAAATGCATTCCCTTAATATTGTAATAAACAGGAGCTCAATCAGCAGTTATTTCTCTCTTCACAACCTAGACAGGAGAAGATGGCGGAAGAGTAGGACGCGGAGATTACCTTCCTCCCCACAGATACATCAGAAATACATCTACACGTGGAACTGCTCCTATAGAACACCAACTGAACGCTGGCAGGAGACCTCAGACCTCCCGAAAGGGAAGAAACTCCCCACGTACCTGGGTAGGGCAAAAGAAAAAAGAAAAAACAGAGACAAAAGAATAGGGATGGGACCTACACCAGTGGGAGGGAGCTGCAAAGGAGGAAAGGTTTCCACACACTAGAAGCCCCT